TGAAAAGGCAGCTCAACACATGTGCAGTGTCCCTGAAGGCCAGAAGAGTTAATTGGAGCCCACAATTTAGAATGTCACTTTGATGTAGCCAACTCTGGCCTCAAATGAAGAGGAATACACCTGCCCCAGTGTTCTGAATGCTGAGATTATGCCAGAAGCACTTGCATATTATCTGTCTAGAGTCAAATAATGTAATCACAGTTTGTATGTGTGAACAACATAATTTATATTCTAGAAAACATCTTTAGACTGTCTATCCATTTAAACTACCACAACACTAACATCCCAAGAACTAAAAATATCCAGAAAATCTATTTTACTTGTAGAGGGTCAAAGGATCTTGTGGTCATAGATAAGCTCTAGGGAAACCAGGAATACAAAACCACAGTGGTTTCTCTTGAATGGATGAGAAGTACACTCTTTTCTGACCAAAAGTGAGGGAATGGCTGCAGCAAGTAGCTTGGAGATTTGTGGTAGATGTAGTGCCAGGCCACACCTAAACTCCCAGACTATTAAGCTTATGGCAAACTCTTCCTCCCTAGGGAATTGTTTCTTAGTCAATAGAAACTAGCCTTAGGGGAGATGTGACATTCACTGTATATATTGGTGTTTGCTACAATGTAGGTTTAATCCTTGTTTAGGCCCTTTAGTTTTAGAATCCAACTTAATGAAAGAGTCACACGTACTTTGCACTAGACTTTTGAAGTAGTCATATTTTAATATTTGTTGTGCTCAGAGGATTGAGATAATTGTCACCAAGATTTTTTTCCAAAATTATACTCTCCTTAAATATTCCTAAAATAAACCACACTTGGGTCAGAATCTAGAAGTTTCACCCAACACTAGGTACTGAGTGTGCAGGGTAAACATTGTTTATCTCCTCATTTTAACTACTCAGAAATTCCTGAATTTACACAACTTAGGAATTAAAATCCCCCAATCTACAAACTTAGATATTCCCACTCCTGAAAATCCTACCCCTGCGATGAAACCCTATACAAAGCCTGCCTCCCACTCAGTTCTCTTCTGATTCTCACCTGAGCAGAGGCAGCCTCCCTTCAGTATTATTCAGTAAATATCATGTGTGTGTGTGTGATTTGTTGTTACATAAGGCTTTGTGGGTATATCTTGGTTTTAACAGCCAGGAAACCTTTTATTTCAGAGCTCTTAAGACTTACACTGGGACACTTTATCCTGAGGGCTGCAAGAATTTCTTTGGGAATAATCCACCACACACCTAAAACCAGGGCTGAAATACATATGAAGTGGTAGTGAACTAGATTTTCTTGTCTTGTCGATTGTTACTCTGCCAGACCTAGTGTTTGCAGAGACCCCAACACTTATGTCACCTAACCAGTAAACATCAAACACAGTCTTTCATTAGGAACAATAAACTCAAGAGTTAAACACAATCTTTCTTCCCCTTTGAAATTGTAGTGTTCTAATGTCTTTATTTATAAGGACTCATCAAGAAGATATCCTCACCAAGGAACATGTTTCACAAAAAAAAAAAAAAAAAAAACTGCAGAAAAATAGACAAGAAATCTGAGACAAGAACTTATGGGACACAAATTGTAATGCCTGCACATCAAATATTAATGGTGATGTTCATGGTGAACATCAATGTTAGTAAATGTAGATGTGGAAATACAGGACCACAGTCAGTTTGGCCAAAATTGTGGGGGAAAAAAAATGTGAGTCTATGCAGCTACAAATGAGGTTTGCATTATTATAAAATTGGCTGAGTTTGAATGGCATGAGAATAGCAAAGAGCCAAGGAAAGAGAAGAGGAGAGAAATGAGCACTATGTAGTTGACAGTATGGTTATTGGCTGCCCAGAGACTGTAGCAATGGAGGCACAGAACACGACTGTGGTGTGGCTTGAATGTCTGAGGGTCTCTGGAAATTGTAGCTCTCTAACTGTAGTGAAATGCTGATGATAACTTCTAAAAAAATCCTTAAAAAATTCTTGATATTTCTGAAGTTTAAAGGCTGCTGGTTTAGGGATATAACACCTGTACCCTAACAAGGGAGTATTACGGCCTTTGTTCTATCTCTGCAGGAACTGTGTGACTTGCTGCCTGCTTCTGATTTGAGCATTTACTACTAAATTGTAAAAAGTTTTCTTTGAAAGCTACTTAGGAAGAAATATGAAAAGATCCTAAGTAGAGAAAAGGGAAAGTCTTCTCTAGTTGGGGAAAAGAAAACATTCTTTTCTCATCTATTTGTCCTCAGTACTTATACATCTTTCAGAGTACATGATCAGATGTTAATACATTCATCACAAGTTTACACAAAATATCAAAACATAAATTGAAATAGAATTTTACGACAGAGAATGTTTACATGCATATCTATTAGGAGTAATTAATTATCTGGCTAAACATCCATCACCTGTCACAGGTACACAGGTTCACCGGAAATTAACAACCATAACTAAGATATTGGTGAAAATATGTATACATAAACCGAGTCAATATCTTCATTTTCTGTCCTGACACCTATAATAAATTGTTAATTAACTTTTTATGAAGTTTCTTTATAGGTTTTACAGACAATGAGCAGTATAAAGACTGATTACTGCCTCAGAAGTGACATTAAAGACTGGAAGAGATCTCACTGCTGTTTTGGCTATCAGAAAGAATTTAACAGTGCCATTAAAAAAGTTTAAAAATTACTATAAACTTAGGAATCCTCATATGATCGTCATTAAGTATAAAGAAACCATCTACTTGTCTATAGAGTATCACTACAAGACAGTACATCTTCATAGGTATGCAAACATCTGCTCAAAAGGGCCTAAATTGGCAACAACTGTAGATGAAGGGAGGTTTTACATTGCTGTGAAACACAAGGCAGTGTCCTCCACTCTTAGTTCTGAGATGTGTAAAATATAGCATTCTCTAAACAATTTAGAAAAAGAATGGAGCCAAGCAGTGGTGGCGCACGCCTTTAATCCCAGCACTTGGGAGGCAGAGGCAGGCGGATTTCTGAGTTTGAGGTCAACCTGGTCTACAGAGTGAGTTCTAGGACAGCCAGGACTATACAGAGAAACCCTGTCTCGAAAAAAACAAAAAAAAAAGAAAGAAAGAAAGAAAGAAAGAAAGAAAGGAAGGAAGGAAGGAAGGAAGGAAGGAAGGAAGGAAGGAAGGAAGAAAGAAAGAAAGAAAGAAAGAAAGAAAGAAAGAAAGAAAGAAAGAAAGAAAGAAAAGAAAAGAAAAAGAATGGAAATCACAGCATAGAATCTGAATGGTTATCCCTGAAAACAATGAAGCCATATTTTCATTTATTTTCTGATAGACTTGTATCTCATACTGCCTTGATATCAAGAGAGAGTGAACAGACTTATTGCTGAGGCTCTGAAATTCTCTACATGTTTTCTGTTTCAAGTCTTTTTAACTTAACCTAGTACTACTGTGTAATAAGCCTGGAATGTTGCACAGAATCTTTCCTATTTTAGTTCTCACCAATCATTTTCACTAATTCTGTGTTTCTAACTTTTGTAATGCTAACCACTGACACACAATTTAAATTATTCATATGTGGGCAGATGAACCTGTAGTTGAATGAATGATTTCTCAGTTCTAAGACCATTAGAAATATGTGTTTGATGATGCTCTTAAACATCACCCGTGAAAGAGTCATTCCAACTCCAAAGAGGTTGTTACTAACCTGTTGATAATCCCTACTATAATATTTACATTACAGACTTGCAGAAAATATTCATGACTTCAGCATGTTTCACGAAAGACATTGGTTGGAAAGAAGTGACATATATTGATCAAAGTAACCCAAGTGAAAACTGAAAATAACCAACTCAAACTTGTTGAATCATTCAGCTTTATTTACAGGAAAAATGGGATGGAGTTGTTGAGCACAAAGGACTTATAGTTAGTTTTTATCCTGAATAATAAAACCAGCATTTGATAAGAATTATGGATATTGGATACTTGAAATGTACTTCACATCTGTAGTTATAATATAGGATACAGAACTTGTAGTGTCTGTAGCTCACTTTGTAAGAAACTCTTTTATGTACAACTAATATGAATTTGTTCATTTGAATAAAATTAACAGGACGTTGCCAGTCTTATTATATATTTTGAGGGCTATTGTACACACCTCAATTATTTTCTCTTTGGAATGCATTATTTCCCTATCCATGAAAGTGTTATACAACATTACATTCTTCTCATTTTCAGACTCACCTTCATCTTGTAATATTTGAGGGTGACCAAGGAAAAGTTTAATGAAAACTGTCCTACACTGTCACATTTTCAGAGTTTCAATAATCATTAATACTTGACATTATCAAAGATTTAAACATAGCATGACGGAGTTCACAAGTTTTTCATAATTGTACTCATTCTCTAATGTGGAGCCTCAAATGTTGCAAAGAATACACCCTAGGTAAAACACATTTTATCCAAGAAAATGCCGCATTTTCCACAACAGAATAACTTTCCCACTAAAAAATTTTAGATGTTTCTTCTGACCTGAAATGAAATCAAAGGTATTTCCATATGTATTGTATTTGCTAAGTTTCTCACTGGTATGAATTCTCTGTTTCATTCCAACAGATATGCCAAAAGTAAAGGATTTACACTTTAAATACATTTGAAAGTTTTCCCTTCTTTAAGTATTCTCTAACAATTTTTTTTTTTTTTTTTGGTTTTTCACGACAGAGTTTCTCTGTACAGCCCCGGCTGTCCTGGAAGTATGCAGACCAGGCTGGCCTTGAACTCAGAAATCCACCTGTCTCTGCCTCCCAAGAGCTGGTGCGCCACCACTGCCCAGCTTCTAATAAATTTTAAGATGATATTTCTTGGTACAGGGTTGTCTCACTAACTACATTCACAAAGTTTCTATACTGTATGAAATCTCTGATAATTTGACAGACTGACATTGTGGGTAATGCATTTGTCACATTCACAATATTTGTAAGATTTATCTCATGTATAAATTTTCTGATGCCTTCACATGTTAACTATATGGGAAGATTATTTCTCAAATTCATGGCATTTGCACGGTTTCTCTCCTGTATGGATTCTCTGATGACTTCTCAGATTGCTTTTGTAAGTAAAGCATTTGCCACAATCACTACATTTGTAAGGTTTCTCTCCAGTGTGAATTTTCTGATGAACACTAAGATTTGATGGTCGGGTAAAACATTTGTCACATTCACTACATTTGTAAGGTTTCTCTCCTGTGTGAATTCTCTGATGTCTTCTCAGACTGCATTTTTCAGTAAAGCATTTGTCACATTCATTGCATTTGTAAAGTTTCTGTCCTGTGTGAATTTTCTGATGAACCCTAAGATGTGATGGTTGGTTAAAGCATTTGTCACATTCACTACATTTGTAAGGTTTCTCTCCAGTGTGAATTCTCTGATGCCTTCTCAGACTGCATTTTACAGTAAAGCATTTGTCACATTCACTACATTTGTAAGGTTTCTCTCCTGTATGAATTCTCTGATGAATACTCAGTTTAACTTTCCAGGTAAAGCATTTGCCACAATCACTACATTTGTAAGGTTTCTCTCCTGTGTGAATTTTCTGATGAATGCTAAGATGTGATGGTCGGTTAAAGCATTTGCCACAATCACTACATTTGTAAGGTTTCTCTCCTGTGTGAATTTTCTGATGAACACTAAGATTTGATGAATGGGCAAAGCATTTGTCACATTCGCTACATTTGTAAGGTTTTTCTCCTGTATGAATTCTCTGATGAATTCTCAGACTGACTTTGTCAGTAAAACGTTTGTAGCACTCACTACATTTGTAAGGTTTCTCTCCTGTGTGAAATCTCTGATGAATACTAAGACTGGATTTTCTGATAAAGCATTTGTCACATTCACTACATTTGTAAGATATCTCTCCTGAATGAATTCTCCGATGAAATTTGAGACTACACTTGTGGGTAAAGCATTTGTCACATTCATTGCATTTGTAAGGTTTCTCTCCTGTGTGAATTCTCTGATGAATACGAAGATGAGATTTTCTGGAAAAGGTTTTGTCACATTCACAACATTTGTAAGGCTTCTTTCCTGTATGAATTCTCTGATGAACACTAAGATAGGATTTATGGGCAAAACACTTGTCACATTCACAGCATTTATAAAGTTTCCTTTGTGTATTAAATCTCTGATGCATGCTAAGACTAAACTTTTCTGTAAAACATTTTTCACTTTCACTACATTTGTGAGGTTTCTTTCCTTGATAAATGCTCTCCTTACTTTGAAGATTGTCTTTCTGGGTAAAACATTTGTCAGGTTCACTACAATTGTAAGGATTCACTCCAATATTATTTTGTTTCACCAGTGATTTATGTTTAGAGAGAAAAACTTTATCAAATTCTGTATTTCTATTCTGTTCTTTCTTTCCTATGTGGATTCCTTGATTGAGACTAATGATTGAACTCACACTTAAACCATTTGAACATTCGTTATACTTGTAAACTTCTTCACTGTTTCCAGTTTTAAATATTTTTAAGTTTGAGAATTGAAGAGATGCATCTCTGTCATGAGTTTTATGAGGTGTACTTTGGGTAGATTCATGAATCAGATTGCTAAGTTCACTGCATTTAGAAGACGTTTCTTGGATATTCACATGCTCATGGACAATGTACTGTGTGTCTTGATCTAAGATTTTCTCATACATTCCACATATGCGATGATTTTCTGAAAAAAAGTGCAATTAGGGATGACAGGGATGACTTACATGAGTATGAAGTGATTCAATAACCAGTTTGCTGAAGTTTTAGGTAAAATATACATTCTCATGGACTCGTGCTCTCAAGAGAGAGTTTTTTTAATCATTACATGGATCCGTAGAAGAACCTCAAATCTTATCTATGTCAAACGATAGGAAATGATAATTGCCTTTTAAAACTTATTTTAATATTCTACCACCTACCCACCTCAAATATATTAACCTACAATTGCTCCTCATTAAAGGAAATACAGAGGCAATGAATGGATCAGAGACTGAAGGATAGTCCATCCAGACACTGACCCACCTGGGGATCCATTCCACATGCAGACAAGAAACAAAGACAGTACTGCTGATACCATTAAGTGCTTGCTGGCAGGAGCCTGATGTTGCTGTCTCCTGTGAGGCTCTACCAGCACCTGGACAACATAAATGGATGCTTGCGGCCAACATTCAAACTGAGCATGGGTCCCCATTAGAGGAGTTAGGGAAAGGATTGTAGGAGCTGAATGGATTTTCAACCTCATAGGAAGAACAATAATATCTATCAACCAGACTTCCCTGACCTCTCAAGGACAAAAATCACTAAGCAAAGAGTACACATGGAGGGACTCATGTCACCAGCTACATATGTAGCAGAGGATTGCCATATCTGGCATCAATGAGAGTGGGGGCCATTGGTCCTGTTAAGGCTTGCTGCCCAAGCATATGGGAATCCTAGTGCAGTGAGGAGGCATTGCAGTGTGGGTGGAGGAGCACTGTCATAGAAGTAGGGGAGAGGGAGGAGGAGGAAGGTGCTTCACAGAGGAGGAACTGGGAAAAGGGATAGCATTTAAAACGGAAATTAACAAAATAATGAATGAAAAAAAGAAAATTGTACTTTGCAGAAGCTAGGACATTATAATCAAATTTGAAAAAGTAGATCTCTGAACAATGTATCTCTAATTTTATGGTTACAATTTGATTCAGAGTGACAATGTGTAGCTTTGGTAAGTATAAATTTATGATGTAACTGACTCTGACATGGAAACCAGTAAATAGTTTTCTCTCAGCATCCTAAATGAAAGGATAACCATGTCCCAGAATAAAACCAATTGTCAAAAAGTAAATAAAAAATTTCTCCATAACAACAGCTCTAAATACACCTGAAACCTGTTGCAGTTTTTAAAATCATAAATGAGGGAACATTTTAAAGCAATAGTAAGATTAAAATAGTCCAACTATTTGATGTGTAGAAATATAATTCCTTGTTGTGAATATTTAATTCTTTTGAACTTGAAAGACTTGAATCAAGCTAGATTAGCGGTAAGGAGAGATCAGAGAATATTGCATTGATTACTCTTCCAAAGAAAGCAGAGAACTATAAAGAAAACATAATGAAACATTATGGTTTTAACCAGAAAAAATTTTGATTTTCCCTCTTTTGGGGGTCTGTAGACACTTCAGAGATTTTGTATAAATACAAAATGGGAATATTCAAAGAAAGAATCAGGAAGTCAAGAAGAAGTACATTCTTACCCACAAACAATAGATTGTTGTAATTTTCCAACATGACATCCATGTACAATGCCCTCTGAGCAAAATCGAGACATTCCCATTCCTCCAGTGAGAAGTCCACAGCCACATCCTTAAAGTTTAACAGACCCTGGAATGGAAATGATTGAAGAAAATATTGAAGCACAAATGTTTTCATAAAGTCCTATAGAGAAGTATCTGAAATTCTGAATTGCTGCTCTTCCACAGACAATCTCTACAATGACTTAATATAATGCTTATATTTAGAAAGTCTCTCACCTTTATGAATTTTCTTTGGTTTACTGAGACCTTACCAGTAAATGAAAGATTGGCCACCACGGCTACATTCGAAAATTTTGTGTGCAGTTTGATTTGTAGAATATCTTTTAAAGTCATCTATTATGATATTTGTTTCTCAGCACCCACAATGGACTGCACAATGGAATGTTAAACCCAATTCTTTAAAATCCAATGATCTCTTCGGAACACTACTGGCAGAAAGAATACACAGCACATATGCATACATTCAGGCAAAGGTAACCAACATATATTGAAGAAAGATGAACTTTAACTTTAATACAAAATACTTTGTAAAACACTCAGACTTCCTTGTATTTCTGTTTCCCTGAGAGTACAGGATATAATTATTTCAAAAACAGTAAACATTTACAGAATATAACATGTATATTTGATGTCTAAATGCAGTAACATATCTTTATGAAATAAGGGTTGACATCAAATATAATCCTAGTGTCACATCATAAACTGTCAAATTATGATGACAAGAAACATGCTTTCAAATTTTACAATGCACAGCTTGCTGAAATATGGACACTTGGTTATTCCTGTGTGCAGCTGCATCTCACTTGTCTGGATTACAACATATCTACTTAACAATCTGAGGCCTAAGTAGAATGTTACATCCTTTCTAGATCAAACTGGTAGAATAAGAAATGTAAAATAAGCCAGGCAGTTGGTGCACGCCTTTAATCCCAGCACTTGGGAGGCAAAGGCAGGCAGATTTCTGAGTTCGAGGCCAGCCTGGTGTACAGAGTGAGTTCCAGGACAGCCAAGGGTACACAGAGAAACCCTGTCTCAAAAACCAAAAAAAAAAAAAAAAAAAAAAAAAAGACAAAAAAACCCCCAAGAATACAAAAAACATACAAACAAAAAAAAATAAATGCAAAATTAATGGATACACTAAAAGTCAGAGTTTTTTGTTAAACAGAATAGTACTGCAGCATCATATGACACAGATAGTCAAATGCTTTGTGAAGTTATTTTATGAGAATATATTCAACACTATAATGTAATAATACCAATATTTGAGAGCATTAAACTATTTAATATTTTATATAAGCTGGCATAATCAATACATGTAATAACAATTACATTTTCTTCAGTATTTGACCACTTCTGTATCAGAATTATAGCTTGCATAGAGAAGTACGATCTAAAATTCTTCCTTTGTTCATGAAAACTATAATACATTGGATTTATACTCTCTCTATTACAAATGAGCCTCAAAAATGTAAACCTGGTGCATGAAAAAATGACTAAGAGGTAAAGGTACTTGCTGCTTTTCCATACAAACATAATTCAATTCTTTTTAAACATATTGCAATTCACTACTGTGTCTGACTTCAGTCAGCAAGGATTGGTGCTGCACTCAGGGTTTTAGGGGCATAATGTATTATTCAGTGTACATAAAAAAATTTGGATGGCCAGACAGTGGTGGTGCACTCCTTGAATCCCAGCACTTAGGAGGCAGAGGCAGGTAGATTTCTGAATTGGAGGCCAGTCTGTTCTACAGAGTGAGTTCCAGGACACCCAGGGCTACATAGAGAAACCCTGTCTCAAAACAAACAAACAAACAAACAAATCGGATGAACACTCCACTTATATAATTAAAGAAAATTGTATTCTAATAAAAGATAGAATCATTGCCACAACCCTTCAGTTATGTAATCCATAATTTCAATAAAGAAAAATAACATAGGTTCTATCAAGTCTTCTTCCTGCTAAAAAACAAAACACAAAAAATTAGGAAGCACGTTAATTTATGTTTGAAAACTGATGGTTTATACATAGCACCAATGCAATGCCCTGTAAAAACTTCTCACTAATGTCTTTCATGTGGTGAAATGAGAAGGTGAAGACACAGGACTTACACTGCTTCTAAAGATTGAAATCAAAAAGAAATGAAAATACCCATCTCTATACTGAGAATTTACCACAGGGGCAGTATCTCTCATGAGACAAACAGATTTCAGTTGTCAACACTTCTATGATTACTGTGTGACATAAAATATAAAAAAGAGTTGTCAGAATACTGAAATCTGCCTCAGCTCACATCATTGGCAAAAGAAAGATAATTTCCGTCCATCATCTGTGCCTCTAGAGAGCTGATACATTTACTATGAGGATTCAATACATTGGGTCCCTTATAATTTCACACTTCTAAAAATTCTACTCTTCCATATACTGACTAGTAATGCAAATTTCAACATATTTTCATACCCAAATTCATAAGCTTGTGTCTGGAAATCTGACCATCCATGAAATAAAATTAATGTGACACAAGAGACCTTACTTCCACATTAATATAAAAGGATAGATCTTTACCCAATGTAGAAAATATCCATCAACATATTCTTGAGACTCATTCTTAATAGATGCTATTGGAGTCCAGCAGGTCTCCAGTCCATGAGAATTTTACATCCTCACAGTATAAAATACAGTAGAAATAGGAAGATGTATATAAAACATTGAATTTTCATTATCACAGAGGAAAATGAAAATGATAGAAAAGAAGCTCTTAGATAACATTTCACATATAATTAATCTTTTGAATGGATTGAATAAAAAAAGGGATTTTAAAGAAATGTTGACAGAACACTGACCTGTGGAGTGTTTACCAGGGAAGCACTCATTCTTTTTGTTGTTATTCTCCTAGGTGCTGTGTGAGGAACAAAGATTAGAATTCTTGAAAGTTCACATCAAGGATTGAACAATTCAAAGATGAAATAAATATTACTCTATTACAGACAATGCTAACCCACATTAAAAAACAATCATTAATAACAAATACCAGGTATTTGATACCAGGTATCTTGACAACAATTCTACAGACATGAGAGCATGGGATGATTTGTCTCCTAATATTAGTATAACCCAATGACTATTTCTAACCTCAGAAATTACCAGGCATAAACATAAAACACATGTATACCTGCTATGGAACACTAACACTCAGGGTAATTACTGAAAACTTCTCTTCTTGGGTCTAGAGTCAAAGACAAATAGCTAAAGAGTGCCAAGACTGATTTCTAGAATTGAATGGAGTTTCATTAGTAATCACACTAGAATACAATATCTGAGCCTTTGATGAAATTCCAGTTCATCCTACGCGGAAGATAAAGTACATGTCATTTCCATTTGTGTCCTGTTGCCTTGGAATACAAAGGTTCTATCTGATAAATATGTTGTACTTCCACATGAAAGTAAGAATTAATGGCATGGGTCTCCTGGCATAAATACCCATACAGACACATACATAAACATTATTACATGTGTTCACACACAAATAAAAACATAAGGGATGTGCAAAGCTTTCAAACTAACTTATCACAGTGCAGCAGCACTTACAAAGAACACATAAGACACAGAAAATTTTCAATCTGTCAAATAAGGATACTGGTGGAGAGCCTTTGAGGCTGCTTGGCAGGAAACCAACATTGGCCAAGGACAAGGAAATGGGCTTTAGGCAGGAATCTGACTTTGGGCCATGACAAGGAAGTAAGTTCAGGCAAGAGTCTATTTTTAGGCTAAAACAGAGAATTAATTTCAGTCAGGAATCCAAGTTTTAGGCTAAAACAAAGTAGGCCTCAGGCTTGAATATAACTGTGGGCTAGGACAGGGAAGTAGGCTCAGAAGTTTTTGTCATCCAGATGAGCCCTTAGAAACAGCAAGAGTGATCACAAGACTCTGTATATTGCCTTGTTTGTTCCTTGAGTGTTTGTTTCTATTGTATTGTTGGTTCCTCAACCTAGAACTGACCTGAATACTTGCACGTAAGTAAAAGGGCTTAAAAGAGAAGCTGAATTCAACAAACCTGCCTTCAGCCTCAGAACTGGCTGGGGTCATGCTGCAGTTTTGTCTAATCTTCTCTTTTCTTTTAATCCACACTCCTGCACTGGAGAACCAATTGCCCGAGAGCGGGCTTGATCAGATACTAGCAAGGCAAGTATTCTATAACCACAAGAAATACTTCAGTATGATAATACACTTAATAAGCTGTTTTAAAAATACAAGAAAATATCACTTAGCTTTATACATTCCTAAAGAATAATCTGAGAAGTCAAAAGACTTCTCAGTGTATCAATAGGTCTTGGATATACTGGTGTAACATACAAACTGATAAACAGGCTCTGTAGAATGCTAGGTATAAAGAGTCATCAGTCGCTCTCCCTTGATCCTGATCCCTTGTGCTGAAGTACCAACCTGTCTGACATTGAATGTATGTTCACCAGGGTACCAATGGTTTTATAGGTTTCTTCCATGAATTTACCATGAATACTACAGAATCTATTTTAAAACTTGGAACTGACATTTTCTCTAATAAACACCTATTTTTGAATAGACATTATTCTGCACTTTTGAGACTTCCAGTCATTACTACCACTTTTTAAACTAGTCAAAGTTTAAATTGCTATAAGTTGTGTTCAGATACTGAGACACTTGTCATAGCATTCTAATCTAGCATTGCCTAGGAAAGTCTGTGGAAGACTGGCTTCCGGAATTCCCACATGTACCTAGATATTCTCACATCTAAGTGCTGTCGAGTCTGAAAGTTTATTCTATTTTCCTTGCCCTATCCCTTACTACCAAAAGAGGGGACATTATAATACAATACAGTAGTAATAAATACTTACCTATAGAATAAAATCAGGGGAGCATGGAATGATATTTTCAAGCCCTGAAAGAATACAACTGCAAGTTCTAATATTATTTCAGTAAAAGTGGTTACTAGTATTGACAGTGTTTAAGGTACACTTGAGTGTAGTAAATCATTAAGTCATGGTTTTAAGTCAAGAAGCAACTTAGATAATAAACAGATGAAAGTATGCACAAAAGAATCAGATATAAATTTTCCATGAGGACACAGGTAATATGGCAGCTCTTGTGAGGAATAAGTGAATGCAACAGAACTCATGTATAACAAAAGAAAGCTCTATCCCACGCAAGGAATGAAGAAAAATGTAATATACTATGCACAACACCAGCAAAATCTTCTAGATTAAAAATTTTAGGGAATAAAATGACTGAAAGACCACTATTTCATCCAGAAATCTTCCAAAATCTTCACTATAAAATTCCCAGTACAAGTCAGATTAGATGAAATAGATACCTACATAATGAAGAGTATTATTTGTGAATCTTGGTTTTAGATCAGGAAAACATGTGCACAAAAAGATTCAATTACCTCTGAATTCTGATGTTCAGGACAGACTCTCAAAATAGAGTAAAAATAAGAAAAAATGCCTTGGCTCAAACCTTAAAAAATATATGTATCCCAAAAGGAGGGAAATTTACATGATATACAAGATACAGAACTGAAAACCAGGGTCATCATTAAAGAGATCATAGCTAATAAATCGTGTTAATCAACTAAAAGGGAACAGGAAGAAAATGATTCTCATTAGTGGACAATAATATAATAGCAAATGTCTGAAGGAAGGTAACAACAATGTAAGGTAATGAAAATTCAATTCAATAATTGCTTAGAAACTAGCAACATAAATAAATAAATATCCTGAAAAGAAAATGCAGTAAGATGAATAATAGTGACTCATAAAGAACCTCTGCGAGACAGTATATCAGACTTGAAGAAAAGGTAGAAGATCGGAAAGCTTCAGTCAAAAAAAAAAAAATGATGAATTAAAATAATGTTAGGAGCTGGAGAGATGGCTCCGAGGTTAAGAACACTGACTGCTCTTCCAAAGGTCCTGAGTTCAAATCCCAGCAACCACATGGTGGCACACAACCATCTGTAATTGGATTCGATGCAGTGTACTCATATATATTAAATAAATAAATAAATAAATAAATAAATAAATAAATAAATAAATAAATAAATAAATATTAAAAAAAAGAATCTGGATAGAGAACTGAACTTATAAAAAAAATAATGTTAGGTTAAGGCACAGTATTATTTACTACTTGAAGGGGCAGGTAAATTAGAGAAACTACTTTGAAAAACAGTCTAGGATTTTCGCAAAAAAATAAAAGAAAAAAAGAAAGAAACAAACAAAGGAAGGAAGGAAGGAAGGAGGAAGGAAGGAAGGAAGGAAGGAAGGAAGGAAGGAAGGAAGGAAGGAAGGAAGGAAGAAATAGAAGTAAAATACACACTGTACTGTCGAGCAATTTGTTCATAGATGGTTTCCTGATTGTTCTCTATAATTCTCTATGGACACTCATCCACATCTACATATTCTAGGGAAAGGAGACTCCAGAATTACCCAAGTCTCTAGAGATTATTCTTAGGAAATCAAGTCTTTTCAAGATTATAATAAGGTCCAGGATTGTCAGAAGACTTCTGAGGTCCAAACCCTGTTGTGACGAGTGTGGTAGGTTAAAAAAGATTCCTGCTCAGTCAGGAAGTGAGAGCTCAGAAACATTATAGGCGTAGATAAGATTGAATGGAAGCTAGAGGCTTACAGGACTAGTCATAGGGTAAGAGACAGAGGCAGTAAGTCTGCCAGAGAAAAATTACAATAGAAGAATACAAGTTACTTTTACATCTCCGTGGAAAATCTAACATTGCTCAGTGTAAATGCTCTCTAGAATGAAAAAGAAACATACCTCACAATACCAAATAAAAGAGATACAAAACTAAAGGAAACAGTTCAGAAAAGGTCAACAGTTATTATTACTCTCAAATCAGAACTAATACAATACAGTGCATCCCTTAGAATATCACAATACAAGGACAAGAAAACATTTAGAGTGGAATAAATATGTTATTCAAAAAGCAAGTGGACATTCTTTAGACAAACAACTCAGATCAGAACATTCACTCTGTCAACACATATCTGGTGATAGCATTCATAGTGCCAAAACGTGTTATGCAAATTTGGGAAGAGGGCAGAGTTATCAATGGCCTAACCAACATTTGCATCCTCTGTGCTACAATCTCAATCTGCCAGGCAAGTTATGGCCACTGGTATCATAGTGGCAAGACTGTCTGTGGGTAACAGAGGGTTTTCTGGATCAAGCAGAGGCCAGCTCCACAGGAAAAAAAAATTACATGAATTAAACTGAGAATCTGGCTAATAGCCAATAAAGAAGGTCAAAGGCTCTAGGAGAGAATGGATTATTGACATTTGCTTCGTGTGTAAATGGCCCTTGTCACACACATTGCCTGAAACTGATTTCAGTCTGGGTAAAAGAAACTTAGTTTTCAATATGTAACAACTATTTCAGAGTCTCAAAACTAATCAAATATTGACATCAACTGAGTGCTGACTGCTGACTGCACTGCCTACCATGGGAAATCCATGTCATCACATCTAATATTATTCTCAATGAAATTTTCAGGAATTATTAATGAAATACAATCTGGTAACACCAAATTCATGATGTCTTTCTACTGACAGATCAGCCCCACCCACCCCTTGTTCAATCCTTCAACCATACCTGGATCTTTTCTTAGAGTCTCATTGGCCTTTACCCAGGGTTCTTAGTTTTGATTTATACTTATCTACACTTGGATAAGCATATAGAGACCTGAAAATGGGGAAATATCATTCAGAAAGAACCTGGAACTGTTCATGGAATAAAAATGAAGGATGCCAACACCTTACAAAAGGATAAACATGAAGGAAAGAAAAGATGTCATGAAAATGTCTGTTTTTCTCTGAAGATTTCAGTT